AGACTCGTTGTCAGAGTGTGCCATTGCTGATGTGCATATTCGTATATTATTACCGGATGGAAATTCTCTTCTATTAAATATTAAGCGTCACTGCACTGCAATAGAATTATATATGGTAATTTTTCTTTCTTCAGCAATTTCCTATTATGTTTTTTATTCACTGTTTCGTAAAAAGTGCTATTCATACTGAAATCATGTTTTATATTTTTTGTTCTGTCGCTATAGCTTTATAAAAAGTTTCCTATCTGCATGAATGGGCTAGTTTATTAATTAAATAATCACAACTCTGACAAGTGTTGGTTCGATGAATTTAACTTGCGAATATATTCACAGCAATATATCCAGACAAACTCATGCAGGAATTTGTCTATATTTCTTTTTCTTATAGGCAACGCAAAAGCGTTTGAATATGTCTTCAGAAGCAAGTAGATGCTGCGCGCTATTTGAAATGGCTGAATGTGGATTCGGTATTCTATTTCATTACTTTAGGTGTAGACGAGATTTTCATTGAATAAAGCTGATTTCGTGCAAGTTATTTCAGTGATATTGAAAGAAAAGAAAAAAGTTCGTAAAACTTTAGATATTTTTAAACTACGAACCAGGATGTTAAATTTGGGAAACTCTTTTTTTTCCTTTTTTTTTGTTGCAGAACGGAAGTTAGCAGATGACGAGTATCCACATGCTCTTTATATACAAAATTACTCGTCTGCAGCGTCATCTTGCATCCTACTTCGAAAATGGATTTTTGATATCAGTAGGGAAATTGAACTTTGTGAACGGTATTTTTTTTTTTGATTTGCGAGGCAATTAAATTAATGTATAACAAGAGAATTTGGAATGAATGTGCTGTTCTCACATACGGGGATCTCTACTTAGAGTGTCAGTTTATATTAGCAGTATTTTGCTAATACCATTTTTTCGCTATTTGAAATTTTCAACATTATTGTATTTTGAAAAATTCCTCTTGAAATTGTTGATTGAATTCAGAATTCATAGTTGTTTTTGTCTCCTCATAATTAATATAGTATATTTTTTTCAGCGATAAGGTGTTCAAAGAATTATGTTTTTGGCAAGCAGTTGCGGATGTGAATGGTGGCCTTGTATCAGCCAAGGAAAAAATGTTTCAGCTCAAGGCATTACAAAGCATTGAAAGGGCTGATAAGGTCATTTTTATTACGTACAATTAATTGTTGAGCCACCTTTATACTTGGTCATTCATTTTGCATGAGATCATATTTGTTTATCCAATTTTGAATTGTGAAAGGATGCTGCACACTGCAACATTGAAACATTTGAAATGAAATTGGTGGTAGCAATCTGTTTTGAATCTTCTCTATCTAAGAAGTTATGTTTGCAGTATTTGAATATGGTGCGCGCAATGGATGGTTACAATAGAATTGTTTTTCCTCACTGTAGTTGTGGCAGTCGTAAAGATGGTGATATTATATTAGGAGTTGAATTTTCCCAATTGACCATACATGCATGCGATTACGAGGGTAATCTTCAGGTCTGGTTTCATGTTTAGTTTTTTTAAGAATATTGGCTTGAAGAAATTGATCAAATTTAGTCAAATTTTCTCCTTGTGAATTGAATTGTTTTTATAATTTGAAAGGATAATAAAGGAGTTATTCTTGAATATGTAATTGCTTATAATACCTTCTGAACAGTGGGTGACATTTAGGAAGAAGTGCTTGTATTCGATTGGGCTGACATTTTGGAATACAAAGTTGTTGACAATGGTGCTACATTTGCATTTGAATATGCACGTTCACAAAAGAAGCCAAAATCAGTCAAATTAAGCACTCAATTTGTGAGTATTTATTTTTCCATACTGAATAACTTCCATAATTGAATTTTTATACCTTTCAGTTAAATAATATGAGAATTTGTAGGAAGGTACGCTAACTTCTCCTCACATTTCTATTTTTTGTCGCTGTCACTGTCAAGTTTGTTTGTTAATAAAGGTTTGTTGCAGGCGGTGTATATGAACTTTTGCTTTTCACGAATACTCGAGGAACGTGAAAGACGCGCCGGATTGATTTTTTTCAAAGAGGAATATTAAATCTTTTGGTTTTAGAGTTTTTCAAAATTAGGTTGTCTTGCTAAACTTTAGAACTTGGAAATCAACAATTAATAGTATCAAGATTTATTCAAAACCATTTGCTATGTTTACTTATTTATTTGACTTTGCATAGGTATGAAAACTAAAACTAACAGCTTGCATTTATGAATGTAAAGGTACAGCAGAAAGACCCAGATGGAGAATTTTGGGAAACATGACAATACTGAACGAAGTTTTGCCATATGCAATGATTATAGTGTTGTGGCTTGTTTCTTCGAAATTACAATTTGTACTAGATTCCATGTACATGGACAGTACATTTAGATTGTAGATTAAAAGATCGAAGGACTCAAAATAATTTTTGTCACTAACTTAGTGCAGAAATTTTTATGATCCTGAGCAAGAGTCGGTTATGCTGTTATTACAGTTTCACCGTTTAAACTACTCCCAATTTTAGCAGTTAAATGAAAATTTTAATTAGAGAAATTATGTAAGCCGGGTAAAATTCAAGTATCTTGTTCACTTGTTGCACTGTTTCATTCTTTCTTAGTTTATGCTTATATTTCTGAAATATTCAATAGAATGAGACCACGCCTAATTTCTAAAATGAATGTTAGTTTTAATTGTTGGATCTGCTGACATATAATTTACAGTTAGATATCGTTTTGTTCCAGCACCATCTTTGAAATACTTTATATCTGAGCGAATGTATGGTCTAAGGATGTAATGCAAAAATTTCTTACATTCATTCAATGTATGCTAATGATTTTTCTGTTGTTTCTAGACATTATTTACTTAAGCCCATTCATGAAACTCTCCATCATGCATAATGCGGAATTTTTTGACAATTCTTTTCAAGGGTAAAATTTTTTTTAAAACTATGCATTTTTGTTCAATTATATTATATTTTAAATACTATTGCTTTTCTTATATCATTTCATTACTCACTAAAGTTATTGTTCCGACTTACCGGGTTTTTATCATTTCTTAATGTTAAATTATTGATTATCACATAATTCACTATTATTGTTCAACCGATTTTTTTTTTCACATTCACATGATGAACACTTTTTTATACTCCTCTATGTGCACTACTCATTCTAACGTCTGTTTTTCCTGTGCTTTCATATTGTTCTCAAAGTTTCGTTTTGATACATTCTTATGTATGCATTGTTTTTTTTTTTTTATTTTGACATCGTCATATTTTTATAAATTGATCAAGCATTGTTTTTGCTGTTCCTAAAAGGTTTTCTATGATACCTATTACTTCCATGTGATTAATTTCTAGTGTACACTGAGATTTTTCCAGTGTGGAATACTACCTCCAAAATTCTATGGGATTCTTTTATTCCTCAAGTTTGGTTTTAAGAATTCAAAAGCATTAAGCTAAATAGCATGTTACATTATATTATTTACTCGAGTTCAACTAATTTAATTGTATATCTATTTATATATATGTTTTACGAATTGATATCCTAAATAAGGTTTAATTTTTTGGTGAACATATATAGTTCTAGCCTACTTGGTAATTTTGTCAAGTTTTGCAGTTTGAAGTGATGGGATTTCGAGATGCCGAAAGAACAACTGAATGATGTTTGACGGATTGAGTGAAACACAACAAATCCAACAAATTCCATTATATGATTTGGAACTGTCTGATGATGGTTCTTCCTCGCTGATTAGTGAGCCTGAAAAACGGCAAGGTGCTAATTTAACTATAATATTGTCTGCAGTTCTTAATATCATATAAAATACTGAAGTTTTCAGTAGAATCCTCACGCTGTTTTCTAGTTGATTTTAGTTGCCACAACATGCTTTTCCGTGTTGTGATGTGTTCAGAAAAGTAATAGAATCTTCATAAGTATGAGGTCATGTTGTCGCTTTCACTTCCAGTTTTGTTAGGAGACACCTGTCTCTTTTCAAGACCAAATTGGCTATGATCAGGTTCAGTTTGAGCCCCATCAGTAGTGCTCTATCGTTGAACTACAACAAAATTGACATCCTTGGTTTCCTCTGCAAACATGTTTAGTTTCATGTTCTGGACGGCGTCGAACATCAGGGATCAGGCAACGGCAGGGCTCATCGACATCATCGACACAAGTCCCTTCATCTGTTGCCAATAACGGGTTACAGCGTGCACACAGTTCACCGTTACCAGCTTATCCAGTGAGCATACGTCAGCAACTGGCTATCATAAAACAGGTTTAATTAACTTAATTCTCTGTGTAGGATTTATGACGTTATGTTATCTCTCTTTTTCAATTAAGTTTAAACAGATTTCGCTTGTTTATTAATTATTGTTTACTGAAAGAGTTGTTCAGCAGGATAAGGAAAAATTTTTGAAGTGAAATTAATTTCCATCATAAAAATGCTACATTTCTTTTAGAAGCTTAAAGCATCAGCTCCTAATTAATAAAAGTGTAATATATAGCAAAAAGAAATCAGTTTGAAAGTTACAACTTTAACGTTTGAAAAGATTTCTGTCATGGTAAATTTTCGAGCATTAATTTCTGAAAAATTGTGAGTTGTGAATTTTTTATAGTATCGGCATACCACTTCAAATATATCTAAAGAAATAATATTAAAAATTGATTTACTATGCTTTGTTTTGTAATTTATAAACATTATATTCTAAACAAATGTTTACTTTCGTTCGTTTCAGGTTTTAGATATTAAATTGATAATGTTTATGTAAGCTGTAATTTGATTATGATACTTTACATTTTGATGACTTTCAGTTGAACTCTTCCTAGTATTTCCATTAACTTTTTAGCATTGAGCTAACAGTTATAGAGAGATTACAATTTTTTTTTTTTTCATTTGATCATTAAAATCAATTAATCTCATAAAATCTCTAATGGTTTATTAAATCTGTCAAATTGTAAGAAACAAGTGCTTTTGTGAATGAACCTTATTAGCAAATTCATTTGAACAGTATCTAGTTGTACGGAATGACATAATTCATTGCTCCTCCAATTTGCTGAGCGATGGAAAGTGCGACGGTGTCCTCGTCTGTATTTCGATTAATGTGACTAGCTGTTGCTGCGATACCAACTGTTGCCAAACTCACATAACTACTAACTTCTTTCTCCGCCTTCCATTCTCTGTATCTCCTTCTCCATTTTGCTGTTGTTGTCATCACCACATTCTTTCTGTTTTCGATTTTTTTCTAGCCGATCAGATTCCTTGACTTCCTCCAAATCTTATCAAAATTTTATCTTCATCACGAAGCATCATAAAAGACTTCAAGAATTTGCTGTAATGTGTATTTAACATCTACGAAATCTTTCATTAGAAAATGTTTCGGAGAGAAAAGGAAAAGATTATGAGCTAGTATAAGAAAAGTCACTAGTAATGTGTACTCTCTAACGATCTATTTCGATCTTACATAGAAGTCAGTCTTTTTCTGAATGACTTTGTTAATTAATATTTGATAAATGTAAAAACAGGAGATATCATTATTTCCAAAACTCAAAGAGTTGATGTCATATCATTCCTCTTTTGGAGAATTACTTCCTAAAATTTTCTTATTCAACCACTTCAGCCTTCTAATTTTCAGTAACAAATTATTTTTTAATTCTTTAAGAAATTCTTACATTTCTTAAGTTTTGCTTACAAATAGAGAAATCTATCTTGCTATGCTTTATTTTTTATTTTATGATTACAGCTGTTAAGATAGCATTTCCGTAGGCTGTATGAAATAATATATCCTACAATAAGTTGAAATAAATTATTCCATCTCAATTTTGACTTATTCTTTGTTCATTTTTTTAGAGGTGTAAATTGTGAATTTAAAGGACTGTTGTATTAACCTTAATTTCGCTCTAGGAGTTTGCCATCTTATGAAAATGAAAGAAACCATAACATTTCGATAAAAAACTAAAATATTTGTTCTTTGTGTAAATGTGAATGGATGCAGCTATAATTTTTTTATTGTTTTTTGAGATGGAAGAACCAATGCAAGTAGCGGCGGATTCGTCTTCACTCAGTTTGCAGTTACCTCAGACAAGCACTGGGTCACCTGGCTTATCAAGAAGGCGTATTTCGAGGGTATTTTGTCTTGTATAATTCGTATTGGTTAAACCGTTGTTGTGAATTGATCAGTTTATATTTACTGCAATATTTTGAAGGTTCATAAAAAGAATGAACGTGGTGAGACACCATTGCATGTAGCAGCACGTAAGGGAGAACACCAACTGTGTAAGAAGTTAATCGAGGAAGGTGCAGTTATCAATGCTCGGGATTATGCTGGTTGGACTCCCTTACATGAAGCATGCTATCATGGACATTTCAAAGTTGCTAAACTTCTTCTTAGGTATGTTAGTTTTTCATTATGAAAATTGTATGTAATTCATCAGAGTATGAACTAAGTGACTTCGGCAGTTTTCAGCTACGATGCAGATGTTAATGCGCTATCAGATTGTGATGACACTCCCTTACATGATGCTGTCACGAGTGGAAATGAAAAGGTGAATTTTAATCTCCGTAGTTATTAGAAACTATTTTATTAAAAAGTTTTTGATTAAAAACTTATTTTTTAATTTTAATTAAAAAACTTTTTCTTTAAACAGCGTGTCTCGCTACAAATTCCTATTCACTTTTCTTATTTTCAGTAACAAAAATGTGTTTACAGTTGGTCTGGTTGTTGTTACACGCGGGTGCAAGTCGTGATCGTATTGACAATGATGGGAAAAAGCCGATTGATATCTGTCACTCAGAGTATAGTGGAATAAGAAATCTTCTGTCCGCTGCTACCATCCCGGAACTGTGTCCAGTGGATGAGTCACCTTCTCTAAGTCCATCTAGTCCAAATCACATAGTAAGAGATTTCCTAAAATTTCTACTCGGTTTTAAGTGGTCAGATTAATTTATTGAATTTGTGAAAGTTGGAACATAATTTTAATGTAGCTGAAAATGCGCACAGAACTATTGCACAAAACCTAGTTTGATGTCATACCATTACTTCATCAATATTTAAAATGCATAGAGAGGTATGTAAATCGAAGTACAAAGTCTTGATACAACAATAATGAGAAGTAGTTGGTTTGTTTTTGTTTCTTAGGGTGGAATGATGGTGTTAGGAAAATGAAAATGTGTGTTAGGAAATGAAAATGTAAAAGGGCTGGATAAGGAGTAACTTGAAGGCTCTGGAATCGAATAATTCGAAAGGTATGTTATACTGGAAAGCGCGTCATTTGTCTAAGTCACACAGTATAAAAGTTTCAGCAAGGTTCGTCCCAGGTCTTTACGGCAAGTCTAATACAGCTTAGTGCAGAGAAGCAATGCTTAATATCACCGAATAGTGATGATTCTGTAGCTAATGCAGAAACTTTTTCGAGAGGGAGAGACGGAGAAATCAGTGAAGAGCTGGGAATGCAGTTACAAGGTTAGTAGACCTGTGCATCCAAAATGAATGGTTGAGTGTTAGTAATGCAGTAAGTTCGAATGTGTACAAGCTAAGTTGAATTGCTTAATTTGACTTGTTATACTTTCTTGTCTAGAACTATTCAGCTAAGTTGAATTGTAAAACTCTTCGTTAATGTTCGCAGAAAAATAGTCAACATCACTAGTTAATTGCTGACTGTGGATTTTTTTTAATTAGCGAATTAATGTATCTTCCATTTTTCCATGTTCTCAGATATTGTTACTTATTGCCAGAAGATGAGTAACTATATTTTTTTTCTGGTATTCATGAATAGGTTTTTCGTTTGTTTTCAAAGTGCTCTTTAACAGTGGTTTTTTAGGATCACGCAGTCGGTTGTTGAGTGGAGGAGATTTCGATAAGAACACAAAAGTTTTATATTTTTGTTACTTTTCTTTGTTTTTTTAAAACTATTTTTAGTTTTTATTTTAAAGTTACAAAAACGAAAATTGTTTCAAAGTTTCCTGAAATCAAAATATTTTGGCGACAAGTTATGGTCGCTTAATGGTTGTTTTTCAGTCCCCTGATTTTGACGATGTTGTATTAAGGGATGAAGAAGTGAGAGTCGGAATTCGTCATGATTTTGATGACATGTTAGTGTTTCGTCGTATTTCTAACCAACTTTAAATAAGTTTGTTGGAGCCCTAGAATCGAAATGTTATTTGAGTATTTTGTAAAAGTAAACAATAATTGACAATAGTATTGTTTGCAGCGATCACTCATTATCTATGCATCGTTCATTGTGGCCTGAAGAAAGAAATGATGCATTAAAAAGGGTTGGATTGCATACTGGTTCTTCATCATATGAATTTGATCATAATCTATCGCCATCTCATGTCTCGTTTGAAAATACTTGCTTTGGAATAAACGAATCAAACGAAGCAGAAATTCGCAATCTTGAACATGCACGTAATACATACACCGAACGTTTCTCTCCTCAGTATACATCTCAAAAATCAACTTATGAAAAGCGCAAGCAAAGGTGCATTCATCCTTTTGACCGGTTTTATTGTAAACTCAAGGCATGCAATCTTCAGTGCAGTTTTTCCCTATCCTTTTAAAAAATGCACTTAATAGTTGCACTAATTAGACGAGTTTTTGTCATCTTCTGCATTCATTTATCATCTCATCGTTGGCGTAGTTTTGAAATTGGACTTAACTGATTTTCTTTATTGCTGTCATCAGAAATTTTTTTCCCGGTTCACCACGTTTTTGATTGTTGTAGAGGTCGAAGACGAGGACGAGACATCTCTGTGACTGCAGGCTGTAGTACTATCATGGCTCAAGCATCTCAGTCTGATGATGTGTATGAATTTCGCAGTAGCCCGGAATCAGATGTAGGTGTAAATGTGAGCTTTTTATTATTTTTAGTGCTTTTTTCTCCACATTTTCGATATATCGAACGAAATATTTCATATAAACTTTTCAGCCTGAAGATGAAATATCTTAGTTAAAAGAATACTTAGAGGGGAGGATTACGTTGTTTTAAAACAAATAAGTATTGAAAATGTGGATAGTGTTGAAGGAGAGAGATTTTAACGAATTGTGAGTAAAATTATATATGAATTATGAGTAAAAGTAACATGTGGACAACGTTATATATTGTGGTGAAGACAGTAATGAAAATTGAATGGGGGAAGACTGGTAGTTAAGCAGATTAACACGCCTTATTGTTCCGTTGGTGACCTCAATATCTCTCTCAGCATTTGTTACAACTATCAACCTTTTGATATTCGTTTTGAACGATTCATCGTCATACAATACTATTTCAAACCAGCTATTGCATGTTTGATTGCGCACCACGGTTTGCTTTTTTATTGAGTATTATTGCTCATGTTTGTTGAATCACTTCGCCAGGAATTATTCGTTGATTGGAAATTTGCAATTCTCAATATCGATTTTAACCTGTCCATAGCCATTGATAAGACTTGTATCTTGGATTTCTAGTAAAACAGGCGTACTTTCACACTAGTCGCTAGAAATGATAGTTATAATTGGCAAGCAATGATGAACCGTACTTTCTAAGTTAATTAACCTTAGTTGAGCGCTAAAATCGCTGTCAATTAGTTTGACCAGCATTCGCTGGTTGGTAGTAAAGAAGTTATAGAAATAGCAAAAGCAATAAACACAGTATTTCTGTTATTCTTGGTTCATACGAGCTGGCATTATGATTTCATTCAGTTTTTTAATCTACAGAATATTAATTTGATTTATTGCTAAACTCATACAAAATATTACGATTAATTGGATGAGGTTAGATAATTTTTTGAAATTAAAATAGGATAATATGATGCATTCAAATGAAGAGTACTACTAACTCATGTTTAAGATTTTGTGTGTAATTAAAATGTTGCAGAAGACAGAATCTGTTGGAGATATGGAACGAGAATTGAGCGAATCACCAAATTTGAAGAGGCAGCGATTTAACCAAGCTGAGACGACTACTGTAGCCTCTTTCGCTTCGACTGCAATTTCTGAAACAAGTAATTTTCCTTTCATATTCTTGTGTATGATATTGGCTGCTTCAGCATTTTACGTTAAAGATTGTCAGGGATTTGCAGTGTTTTTTTAGTTTTGTAGAGTTTTGAGAGAGCTTAGGTCAACTTTTTAAAAAACTTGAATTTTGTGAATACCAGGTTCTACCCAAGAAGGTATATCCATACTAGAAAAAGGAGAAGCTTTGGATATAGCATCAAATGTATCTGATTTGACGGATG